TTTATTTCTTGGCCTTAAGCCACATCTTCAAAGGTTATCGAATTTACTTTTGGATTTGTGCCACTAACAGACGGGCAAATGGGGGGTGGGGGGGTGGAACAAGCTCCAGCAGAGTCTGGAGGTTGTGGGTTGAACCACACAGCTGATTTTGTTTTGTTTTCTCTCTGCCGTTTCACATCAATCTGAGAGATCTATATGAAACCATCAGACTGAAAAATAAAACACGGCTGACCTGGTGGTGAAAAGAGGGTATCACACCTAATTATCCAGTCAGCAGAGAAGGAGCTCTAAAGGTTTAGACATGTCTCTATCATTTCATTTTAACAGCTGATTTATATTTGACCTAAATCTATTACCCTCGACACCTCGTCTGTACATATTTTATCAGTTTCTTTCTTCTCCAGGAGTGTCCTCCAATCGTGAGAAAACTCTGACATCGTGCAATTTACAGCCAGCGCGGTGTATTATACAAAATGCTGGTAGAACACCTGCCATCAATCAAGCAGATTTCGTCCTTTAGTCTTTCTAATTAAAACAATGAGTCGTCTCACTTTAAAGATGGTGCATCTACATAGTAAATTGTTATTTACTGCGTGCAGCAGTGGAGACGGCCTCGTTTCCAGCACAGCTCTGGCATCTGTAACGTTATGGCACCCCTGCTGTTAACGCAGGTGTTGCCAGTTGAACCAGATGAAATCCCCAGTGGTCAGAATTTATAACTCGTATCTAAAAGGTGCCCTGAGGAGTGGGCGTGTAAACAAAAGTCTGCATTAAACCTGTCCTTCTCTGTTAGACACTGGCAATCTTTGGATTCACTTCGATTTGAAAGACGTGGATCACATCGATGTCAACAAGTGCAATCTTCATTTCACTGCATTATTGCCCCTTTGACAAATAACTGAAACCCGTAGGTCAAAACAATACAAAAATCATTCGTCTAAGTATCCAGCCTGTACAAACACAGAATGCAGAAGTGTAAGGATAAAAAAAAAAAAAACACATCAGAAAAACGGTGTCTTTATGTCGTAACATAAACTATTTCCTAGAGCTGGGAGAGTTAACGTAAACATATTTATTACTGTTGTTTTGTCGTACATTAAATCATTCGGTTTTTACTGTTAATATTATTTTGGAATCTGTTGTTTACTAGTTCTGAATACAAATATCCACCATGGGCCACAGAACGGCTGGACTGGTGATCAGTACTGGCCTGGAATCTGTGTGTGTTATAGGGTTGTTTTTTTGTTGAAAATAAATAAATAAACTATTATAATCAGTCAAGGTGAATTTATTAGGGTGTTAAAGTGATAATTATGCATCAATTCTCCCAGTTGTACATGACCTTTGGCCTCAGACGGTGAAGGTCTCAGATCTCAACAAGATGGAATGATGACTTGTTAATTAAGCAGTTAATGATCATCACAAAACTGATAAATCCACTGAAAATAATAAAAAAAAAAATCACTTTGGCTTTCAACAGAGAAGAAGACTGCAACTCACTGGCAAAAAACACACTTTATAACGTATTAAGATGACCAAGGTGCTGCCATCCAACTTTTTCCCAGGACAGTGAAGGCATCACTGGCTACAATTACACTGGCACGTGCTTTTGAATCTGTGCTTTTGAATACTGCTCAGTCCATCCCAAACATAACACTGCTATACAGTATGGGCTGCATATGTGGCCCACGGGCCACCACTTTTGCACTCTTTTCTGAACCACTGGTGCTCTGTACTGCAACAGGTGCCCGTGTGATCTAATGCGAATCACCTCAAAGCCTCGTTCATTAAAACAGTGGCCACACATTCAAGGTAATGTAACGTAGCAGCGCAGCTTTAAACATCAGCATTGACCCACAATTACTGCAGCTAATTAAAAAAACACCTCATTATTTATGGCTTGTAACGCAGACGGGAACACATTAGCATTTCTCTTTTTCTGCGTCTCTGTTTCTGCTTTCTCGTGCCCTTCTTTGTCTTTTCATTTGTTCACCGTTTCTGAACCACTTCCCCCTCTGTCTCCCCCCCTCTCTCTCTCCTGGTCTGAGTACACAGACAGGGTTGTGAAGTATCCAGCTGTCCCATATTAACTTCCTTCAGCTCAGAGCAGCTACACCGACTCTGACGACTCTGCAGTGAAGGCAGACATCTTGCAAATTAACATATGATTGTGGCCGTGTATAATTTGAGTGTAGAGGGAGCGCGGAGAAGGATCAGGAGAAATCCTTACGCAAGCTGTCCTCCAAAAAAAGAGAGAGAGAATGAGGGAGTAATAACTAGAGAGGAAAACAGAGAGGAAGAGAGAGAGAGAGAGAGAGAGAGACGTAGTCAGAGTCACATTGCTCATGTAGAAGCAGTTCAAGACGCTCCTAGTGGTCTGTCAAGTGGCCGGACCATAAAAAAGCAGGTGAAGGAGACGGTGTTGTCTACGACCTTGTTTCCCAAAGAATGGGTCGTGACCCTCAGGTGGGTCGCAAGAGTTTTGTGTTTTTCGAGTCGTCTCTCATGAAGTTTCCCAGTTTATGTCTACTGACTTGGGTCGTGAAGGTTTGTGACCAATATGGGTCCTCGGAAAAAAAAATGAGCAGATTAGAACATTAGATCAGTGAGAACTGGACAGAACTATTAGAACAATAAGGCTTAAAGGTGTTATTTAGTTACATTCCTGTCGGCTGAATTCTGATGGATCCAGTCATGATGCTTTCAAAGTCAGCGCATGTGAAGATTGAATTGACAGGCGGAAGGTCGTTACCGCTAATACGCTACGGCTATTAGCCCTACAGACACAGCGGTCTACCTAGAAAAACCCCTCCCTCCTTTCAGTATTGATTTTAAAATACAACTTCCAGATCCCCCACTCAGCGGCGCCTACGCTTTGGTGATGAGACAGATGAGATTTATCACCAAAGAGACGAGGAGCAGTGATACGTTCAGTGCTGTCAGTCACTCAGTGCAGGCATTAGTCACCGTGCCTGTGCTTCTCTGATCTGTTGTCTGTCATTGGCTCTCTCAGAGAAATACATCACAATCACACCAAGCAGAAAGACATGGGTACACACACACACACACACACACACACACACCTGTCTCTTCACACTCTTTTACTCCCATGAAGACAAGCACTATTTTCGCCATGAAAAAGAGATGTTCAATTTCCCTGTGTGCTAAGTGGACAGCTCTTGTCCGTCAGACAGAAGGCAGGAAACAAGGCCGTGTTGGTGAACGGATTCTTCCTGGCACTTCCTGTCAGCTCGTCCAGGTGATCAGAGACAAATGTGGGTAATTTATAGGAGAGCATGAGTGTGATATCAGACACAGATCAACAACATCTATTTCTGTCCTGGGAAAGTCGTCCGTGCCTCGCACTCATTGTTATTCTGCATGTGAAGTAATGTGTAAAGTTAAAAACAATAAAAATAATAATAAAAACTTGCGTTCAGCTCGACAGTCTGACAGTGTAAACTGGAAGAAATAAATGAGAAAACTGATGAGAAAGATCAGATTAGTGTGAGGAGGGGAGATTGAAGTCGCCATCTCTCCAGAATACAGGGGCCGTTCTTTGAATATTTGATGCAGGTGGATAGCTGTTCACTCCAGTGGAACAAACTGGATTGGAGTCCAGTCGCTCATCTGGAAATGGCTTTAATTTAAAATGAGAGATGCAGAGTTTCCTTAAGATCCTCATTTTCTCCCTGACAGACCTGTAACCTCCAGCTCTGCCAGACTTAAATACATTTATTTATTTATTTATTTTGTTATACACCTTTTATTTTCTTGTATTACTTATTATTTAGAAAGACTTCAAATATATTAAACAAGATTTTAATGGAGACAAAGAGAGGAATTCTATTGAATAAAACGATTCATCCGTGAGGTCGTGAGGTGTCTCTGTTAATTTACAAACACCTATTTTATGACATTTTTAGGTTAAGTAATAATAGATATAAACTAATGCAAGGGAATAAAAATACATATATTCAATACACCTTTCTGGCACTCAAGGGGTTTCACTTTTACTTTCAAACTATTTTTAGGTCACGTCATCTGGGCAAAACCTAGCCATTGTTATCTGGTCTTCATTATCGGACGAAGAAAAAATTGCAGCGATTCTTACCGATATTACCTAATTATAATGCTAATATAGGTACATATTGTCATATATACATACATCAGCCCATATTAGCACATCCCTAGAAACATGTCATTACAATTATAAAAGGAGCTACAAAAAAATACATGAGTCAAAGTAGACATAGCTAAATAAATCTGTGGTTGACGTCCATTTTTGCGAACTTTTGTTTAGTAATCCAGGGGCAGTGGTTCAATTTTCTTCCTTTGAATCAGGTTTTTTTTTTTTTGCTAACAATGAAATGAAGAGTAAAGTATATACTGTATAATAACCCACTTTGTTGACTCAGCTGTACTGTGTAGTGTACTGGAGTGTACTGGTACAAACTGTACCAGCACACATCAGACCAGTACACATCAGACCAGCACACATCAGACCAGTACACATCAGACCAGCACACATCAGACCAGTACACATCAGACCAGCACACACCAGTCCAGTACACATCAGACCAGTACACATCAGACCAGCACACACCAGTCCAGTACACATCAGACCAGTACACATCAGACCAGTACACATCAGACCAGTACACTGGATACTGTAGGGTTTGTTTTTTTTTAAATCAGGAACTCTTGACAAAAATGAACACATTGTAGGTTTTCTCATTCTACAACCACAATCTGAAAAGTGTTTCCCTGAGATTCTAACCAGAACAGGATTTCTTTGTCAGTTTTCCGATGTCAAAATACTCCACATTTAGCGACGTTCGCACGTGAAACAGTTGGTGTTATTACAACTTTTGCTGGCTTCCTGGGTTTGTACCCCCCCCCCCCCCCACACACACACACACACACACACACACACCTCCCCCCAAACACATACCGGATCTCACCTCACGTGTTACCCTTCTCTTCCCTTCTATTTAAAGGTGTAAGTGTAACCTCCACGCCTCCCAGTGCCTGCTGCAGGATGGGAACCTCCAGTGCCAGTGTGAACACAACACCACGGGGCAGGACTGTCAGCGCTGCAGGAAAGGCTTCAAAGCCAAGTCCTGGAAGGCGGGCTCCTACCTTCCAGCTCCGAACGGATCCCCCAACACATGTATGTACCTGGACTCTCTTCATTCCTTTGTTCGTCAGCAAAAACCACACTGTCTAGTGACAACTCAACTGAGCCGCCGTCCTACACTGACGGCAGGAGTCCGTGGAAGCTACAGTTTGGAGACACATTTACTGACATGGACAAGTAGCTCAACAGCATGCATATATATATACTGTATATGCATGTTTACTGTTGTTTAAGGATATATAATCTGTCAAAAACATCCAGGGTTATGGCGCATTAAGAACTCCAAAAGCCGACGAACAGCAATTTGCAGAAAAGCAGAACACAAAGAAGGCATTATAATATAAAAAATTTAAAAAACAAAATGTAAAAATGTACTGACTTTTACCTGACTTTTCTTAGGTAACAGGAAATAATTTTCCTACTTTTAAAAAAATATTGTTTTATTATTATTATTATTTATTATATTGATCATCAACAATGACCTCATTAATGAATAGCATCAGTAAATGTTTTTTTTAAATGATCCTTTCTGTAAGTCACTAAATTCAGGTTCTATCCATAAAAGATATGAGTTGAAAAAAACTGTGTCAGTGTAGTAGACAATAATGAGCAGAGCAGCGACTGATTGACAGCTGGACCCTCTATCCCACTATGGTTTATCAATTTATAAATACATTCAATAATGTTATTTTGGATTTAAAAAAAAAAACCTGGCCATTAGTTTTAAGATCACAAAGTGACGGGTTTTTTCGGTTTTCGTCCCAGGGGTCACAGATGGATAAGAACGTCCCATTTTTCATCATTTTTATTCCACCTTGAGTCTCTCTCATGTCATCTTCTCACTTCTGTGAATTATTTTATTGAGAATTCAAGATGCATTCCTACTACATGGCCTACTTTATATAAAAGCAGTCAGTGCAGCAGTGGAGACACTGATAAAGACTGAGATTGGAGTTGTTGTCACCTTCTTGCAGAGACTTGATCACAGCAGTTACAGGGGAGTGCGTGGGGGGAAATCCTGGTGGAGAGTGAAGCCAGACACAGGAGCTTGGAGTGATAAAATAATAATCTAGGGCAGCCCCTCCCTGGTTTTTCTAAAAAAGCACAACATACCCACTCACTTAGCCCTGCTCGCTCACATGCAGCCCTACTGTACCTGCACACTCACTGCAGAGAACGCAGCTATTGTCAGCATTTTCCCCCCATCGTGCAGTTATTTCCGAGCTACCGACACCCACCCTCAGAGCCGTTCGCTGCCCGAAACACATTAGTGGAATTTAAAAATTAAAATGTTCCTGGTTGAAATGCAACAAAATGGACATGCTTTATGAAACTTTCTGGAGTTTGCTTTATGGAGCTGTAAGTAAGGCAGGGAATAAACGCGGGAAAGTATTCTTAAATGTCAAAAAGCTCTCATTCTAGTGGAGCAAATCAAACGTTAAATGTCAAAAAGCTCTCATTCTAGTTTATTCACAGTTTATTTAAGTCCAACGAGTTTTTTTTATATCACTCTTAAAGAGTTTGATGTGTTTCTATGTTAAAACAGAAAACAAAACAACAAAACCTTTAAACTTTAGAGTGAATTCCTGCTAAAGGATTTCTCTACAAGCTACACCATGTAGTCTGGACTCACCTATACATTATTATTATTATTATTATGATTATTATTATTATTATTATTATTATTATAGCTAACACAATTATGTAGTATAACATACTCATTAATATACAGATAAATACACATTAGTATTAAAATGTTACTATGAGAGCCAACACTTTACTAACCAGCCAGTTCAATATTAATAATAATCACAGCAGTTTCTCAAATAGTTACGTTACGTCAGTTGTCTTTTTTTTTTTTGCTAACAACATTATTTGATCACACTGTTTGAAAAATGTCTCAAATAATACCTCAAAAATATTCCAGGACACACTCTCTGTGATTGGACCTTTGGTTACATGTCCCTCCTTCTAGCCAACAAACATGGCTCTGATTGGCTCTCGCAACTGTATTTTATCCAAATAATTTTCAGTTTCTTTTGAACTTTCTGTCTGAGAGAAGAAGGTTGTCGACTTAAACCAAATATTTCATTCACGTAACTTTTTTATCTAACCCATTTGGGCAAAGAATTCAAACAGCAGAGTGAAAAACTGGAGCATGTGCTCCTGCGGTGATGTCATCTAAATGTAAAGTGATTCAACGGCAGGTTTTTAGCCAAAGTGAATACACGAAACAATCCTGAATACTAAACTTAACCCCTCTTCTGTTTCTTCTTCCCTTTCAGGTACAATTGCTGGTACTCCCTCCGGTTCAAGTAAGTAAAGCAGTGAAGTTCAGCTTCACCATCCTCCTCCCTCTGTCTGTCTCTCTGTCTGTCTGTCTCTCTGTCTCTCTGTCTGTCTGTCTTTCTGTCTCTCTGTCTGTCTGTCTGTCTCTCTGTCTGTCTGTCTCTCTGGCTGTCTGTCTGTCTGTCTCTCTGTCTCGCTGTCTCTCTGTCTGTCTGTCTGCCTTTGTTGAATTGTTTTTGAAACTTCAGTTTCAACCCCGTGGCTCGCCCTCTGCTCGTCTCCTAAACTCCCCCTCCTGACTGTGAAGTCTCAGCTGCTTCTCTACAGTCACTCATTTTTCTCTTCCACACTCTGTTCTCTTAGTTCTGCAGCTTGAGCCCCGTCTGGTTCATTATTAATAGGCCTCTCTGTCACCACGTCCTTTCATCACAGCACATCACACTAACCTGCGCAGGAGAAATTCTTCCACAGTTGTGCTTTTCTTATTTAAAATAAAGACAGTTGCGGTGATGGATTAAAGAAAAGCCATGTAAGGGAGGGGGAGGAGGGGGTGAGTACGGGTGGTGGATGAAGCAGCAGAGTCAGAGGCAGTGTGTAGTAATGCAGTGTGATTCTGGGTGAGGAGCTCGGGGAGGATGGAATAAAAGAGAATTTGATTAGGGATTCTCTCTGTGGAGAGGCTCTCAGCCTCCAAGCTGTTAGACAAAAACAATCGGCAAAGTGGCAACATCAACCCTGACAGCACTGGGCTTTTCTCCACATCGCTCACCAGTTAAAGGCCGATGCATGGTTAGACTGAGCAATTGGACTGCACTGCAGAAGTCTGCTTTTAAAAAGCTCTCGCTAGCACGGTTAGAAACGACAGCGTGGTTATTTGTTAAAAAAAAACGGGCAGGAAAAATGATGCTTGTAGTGGACGGTCGAGTCTGTGGTGAGAGTCCACGACATCACCTCAGATGGTTGGTGTCTCCGAAGCTGAGGGTGAGGCAGAGAGTGAAGCCTAAAATGAAGCTGAAGCTCAGAGTGCAGCTGAAAGTGACGGCTGAACAAAGATGGAGCGAGAGAGCAAACTGAACAGCCTGCAGCTTTTTCTCTTTTTTGGAGCTGTCCAGGAACGTCTCTCATCAAGCGGAGACTAGAACCTGACGTTCCAAACAAGAACAAGAACGAGAATCCAGGCTGGATAACAAGCACATCATCTCTGTTCTGACTTATTATGACACCAAAAAAGGCTTGTTGTTTGTTTTTTGATCGTCACTAAACCTTTGAGAACGAGAGCGAAAACAATCCAACCCTAAATCACAGTCTTTGTTTAACTACATATGTTGACATCGTCTTCATCACGAATTTGTACCAAATGAACAAAGTGGTTTACATTATTTTTTAGGATGATCCTTTGCTTCCTTCTTTACTTTTTTTTATTATTTATATAGTTATTATTCGACATAGCACAGTTTTCCCGATCTCATCTTGACACAAATTTCCGGCTAATCAAGAGATGTTTCTAAAATCCGTTTTTGATCACGTTCGTTACCCTCTGTCGCAAATACAAAGTATTAGTACACAAAGTGACATTCTGTTTACAGTTGGGTGTTAGGTGAGTTCATCTGTACAAGGCTGAAACTTGAGACTGAACAAACATTCTCTCAAAGACATTTCGAGCGACCACATTTGAATTCCAGGCGACCCAACGTGGGATCGCGACACTGAGGTTGAAAAACACGAGAATAATTATAAATTTCATTAAAAAGAAGAACAACCTCCTGCAGTATTTGTTTTTACTTTTTCACCATTCGTTTTCTGCACATTGAACTCTTTCTTCTTTAGTTGTTTGAGGCTAGTTTTCTAGTCGGTAACTTTTTTACCAACTTTAACATGTTAAGAGAGTCTTAACATGTTAGTGGAGAGAGTTTCCCTTAATGGGTTAATGAAGTATTTCTGATTAAACGAACACACATTCCTACATCCAGTATTTATATTTGAAGTGTAGTATTGTTAACTTGTTTTTGAACGTACATGTGGATGACGCCCACTGTGGCCTTTTGTCTTCGTACACATCATATATCATTTATTGTACTGCGTGTCCTATGACGTACGTTGCCGATCCCTGTCACATACATACAGCACGTTGGCGTTAGATAACGGCCGGCGCTGTTGAGAGCGTGGGCGTCGATTTAACTGCACCTTCAGACCTCATTTGTTCTGACTGACTGGTTCTGGGATGATGTGAACAGGTTCTGTCAGCTGTTTCAGAGTGGGCCTCAGAACCTGCCGTCTCCGTGGGCAGCGCTCCGCTAATGTTCCGCCAGGAAAGCACTCAGGACATGGGACGACTTCAGCTCCGCGTGATGTCGTCAAACTTTTTTTTTTTTTCCCCTGTAAGGAAATCCATTAAGCGGTCGTACTGAACAGCACAGCACTTTTGCGTTCGGCTGACATCGTAGCCAACTTAAAGAATTCACTGATTAGCTGTGATTCAGGCGGGGGCTGACAGAAGCTATAACACCGTGCAGATGCAGTTACAGACCTTTGTAAGCTTTTTACAGACTGCTCCACAGACACAACCAACACAGACATTTAACATTTAAATCTGAGGTTCTCCATTATTTTCTGTCCCCCCCCCCCAGGGGACAGAAATGTTTTTCACGCCATCCGAACTGAAACACTATTGGAAACTTGATCATATGTATTTTCTTATCTGTACGAACCACTGCATGAGTTGCTGCCACCTAGTGGCTGGAGGCTTGGTTGTCGTTCAAGCATTACAGCAGCCTTCTATCCAGTGTTCTATATTCCATTGAAAGCCTCTCAAGCCCCCCTCCCCCACCACCACACCCCCACAGGGTGGGTCGTCCCACTATTTGAAAAGTACCGATTTAAATAATCAACTTTTTTTTTGCCTGATTATTGATGATTTAATCCACACATTATGTCCGACAGTTTCTCCACTTTCTTTGCATCTAATCTTTAAAATGCTGTTTTTCCGTCTGAAGGCCTACTTTTCCGAAAAAGGCCCAGAGCAGATATGCTCGTGCTCCGGGGCTGAAAGAAACTATTGCCGTTAATGACGAGTTACACGGGGAGAATTCGAGTTGAAAGTGAGGTTGAGTTGTATTTTTGTCTCCTTTGTCTGAAGTTTAGTGAAGTGTACTGTGCTTGAACCTGGCCCTGATGTTAGCAATCCTTGTTCTCTGTGTGCCTTTGTCTGTGTGTGTGTGGGTATAAAGACACAGCCAGGCATATGGCGCAGTTCAGTAAAAACCATAAATCATCCTGATCTGCTCCTTTTTCTCCCAGGGATGTAAGGTCTTAGGTTCCATTCTCACAGTAGCCGGCCGTGCCATCACTACATATATGGAAACGGATGAAAACTCACACAGATACTTTACTTCTTCTACGAAGCCAAAGGATCATGTGACATTAAGAGTTTAATAACATTACCCACATAACATATCTTCGACGTCATTCTCTAGAGCTCGAACTACTGTCCAAGTTGAATTCATTAAATATAAAGTTCTGATTCGATCTGTGATCTTGTACATATTTTTTCACTTCCAGTAAAACATCTACGGTCTGTCAGGCGGAGACAGATGTTTGTCTATAACCAGTTCAGCATCTAGCAGTAGTCGTATCCTTTGTCAGGCCGCTGGCCCAGTTAAGTCAGTGAGTGAGCTCACAGAAGGATTAGTAATCTTTTGGCCATAGAGTCAGATCCCTACATCCTGCTGCTCATTGGTCAGCTGGACAAAGGGCACAAAGGAACCAGGTGACCCCCACTGTGACCTCCCAGCACCACGATTCCCATTTTTAACTTCGTATTAGAAGCCTCTAAAAACATGAGTTCTCTGGACATAGAAGACACAAACACACACACACACACACTGGAAATGGACTAATGCATGCCGAGTCACAGCGACTAACGACGTTCTGCATTAGATTGATCTCCGTCCTATCTGACTACGACCGTTACATTATTCCCGTCTGTGGAAATCCTTGCATGTTGATGTCGGATGAACTTGGCCTCAGACTCAGGGAGAGACTGGAACATGTCTGGAAAATCAGGTGACATATTAATGACATTCATGCTGTCACTCAAACCGCCCTCATTAGGGGGTTCGGCAAAATGTTAACCAGAGCCGAATCACAATGGCTTCATTAGTGTCGATCTGAATCAATGTCTGGCTGCACAGTAATAAACGATGAGGATGCTGAGACTGACAGACGGCATTAAATGTTATTGTTAAAAATTTCCACTGCTATATCATTACAAGAGACAAATTATCTCATTTTATGCAAATGCATCGCAGGGTGAGAGGAGCTCGAAAATGTGTGTCTGCAGCCAAACAGCGCACTTGAACCAGCTCTGTCGGAGTGTGTGTGTGCGTGTGTGTGCCAAAGAGTGTGTTATGGGACAGTTACTGAGTCCATCTGTACAGACAGACAGGCAAATGTTAGAAGGATTATGTAATGAGTCATCCATCAACGTTGCCACTCCGAGAGATAGCGTTGTCGCTGATGTATGGCTAGAAAATGACACTGACCTCCGTGACCTCTGCTGGCCTTTATAAACACATTTCATTGTTCCTAGCAGCTCGGTCGATGTGGACGGAAATTCTCATTCTAGCTTTCTGTTCACTCTCCGTTTGGAGACGAGGTGAGGACAGGCAGTGGTCTTCCTCTGAGGAGGATTATTCACACATAAAAGCAGTCGCAGCCGTCAGAAAATGAAGGCTTTCGGAGGATGATTATTAAATAATTATGTAAACCACTGCAGTAACTGATGATGCAGCTCTGTTCAAGACACTCTTGGAATCAGATCGCATGAGAAGTTCAAAATGAAAACTTACAACTCCCACTTTCCCATGCTGTAATGAAACATTTTCCATTGCTGCCTTCCAACTGTCGCTTTTATTTATAAATATATACCTTACCATGTAGGTGGGCAGCCCACGCTCCATTTGGGAACAGAGGCAGTTTGAGAGTGACTGTCACAAGGCTTTTGGTAGCTGATGCGATTGTTTTATCT